GTGATGTGGCAATAGTCAACGGATATGTATGAATGGTACGGCTTAAACTAAGTCCAAACTAAATCCACCCCCCCCCCGAAGTGCCGAAACAGGCCTCAAGAAGCCTTCAAGAGATGCCCAATGAGATCTCCAGTGAGGTCCTCAGAAGCGAAAAACTACTCAAACTGTGTGAAAAATAAGCGTTGATCTGATTACGAGGCTCTTCGGTTTCAGATCGCCTCTGGAAAGTTTCAGGGAGAAGAGGAAGAGGAAGAGGAGGAGGAAGAGAAATAGGCGGAGGAGGAGGAGGAGGAGGAGGAGGAGGAGGAGGAGGAGGAGGAGGAGGAGGAGGAGGAGGAGGAGGAGGAGGAGGAGGAGGAGGAGGAGGAGAGAGGGCGCAAGGAGGATACAGGGAGATGGTTTTGGAGGAGCGGGAGGAGGAGGAACAGACTCGTGCGAGGCCAATTTTCCCGTACCACTCACGGTGGCCCACGATCGCTGCAGAAGGGCTCCCGGAGGGCCCCACACACTGCCCAGGAGCCCTCCCGGACGGCAGAGAGAAGGGCTCCGGGACGGCCCCGAGGCACCGCCGAGAGGTCCGCGGGCGAGCTCGGCCGACCTGCTCCAGGAAGAGCACGGCGAGGCCACGGCGCCGAGGACAGCCCCGAGGCCCCGGACGCGCCCCCAGACAGCCACCGACAGGCCCACGAGAAGATCCAAGAGGCGCTCTCCTTAGGGGGCCACATGCGAACCCTACCCCTACCCCCCACGATTTCTGAGGGGGAGGGTGGGGTTCACTTCGTTCGGGAGCTCCCAAGCGAAGTGAACCCCACCCTCCCCCTCAGAAATCGTGGGGGGTAGGGGTAGGGTTCGCATGTGGCCCCCTACTCCTGAGAGAGAGCCCTGAGGGGCCCCCAAAGCGGCGTCCAGGATGCCTCCACAGGGGCAACCGGGAAGACGAGAGGGAAAAAAAGAAAAAGAGGCTGCGAACAAGGCCAGCTCAGAAAAGACGCTGAGCTGGAGCGGGTGTCAAACTCGGCCTCCTCCGTCTCCTCCTGGCACCTCCTTCTCCTCGTCTGCCTCCTTGCTTGTTCCTGCGGACGGGAAAGCAGGCAGTCCGCGGTGAAGGGCAGAAGGACGAAGGCAGAAAAGTGAGCAAGCAGGGAAGCAGGTGAGCAGGGAAGCAAGTGAGCAGGGAAGCAAGGAAGGAAGCAAGCAAGCACACAAGCGCAAGCAGGCACGCAACTGGGACAGGTACGGGGACCGCCATGCGGGCAATGCGGGTCGGCCGCACGTACGGATAAGGACGAGTTTACTCCCGCCGAGGGCGAGGGTACTGCACGGATAGTAGGAACAGGGTGAGAAAGGATAAGCTAGCACGTTTATACAGCAGCATCACTTGACATGGTCGCAAAGGTACATCCGCCAAGTTCAACCAAACAAAAAAAACGTCGCGCGCAATTGGCGCGCACGTATTTCGAAGATTGATGCGTTCGTTGACAGAGGTGTTGATCAGGGGCTCGGGCCAGGGCAAGGGGTGCACAACTACATGCAAAGATACGCACGCAGAAGCATGTCTGCGCTCACGAAGAGGGAGCAGGAAGGAGGAAGAAGGGACGAGTGCGGAGGAAGGAAGAGGAGGAATGATTAAAGAGGCAGGATGGAGGATGAGGATGAGGATTAGGATGACGAGATCGAAAAGAGGAGGGGACAGGATGGTCCTCCTGAGTCATCCACAGAATCCTCGTGTTCCTCCTCCCCCTTTTTCTTCCCCTCCCTCCTCCCCACAATTTCCTCCTCCTCGACCCCCTCCTCCTCCTCCTCTTCCTCCTCCTCCTCCTCCTCCTCCTCCTCCTCCTCCTCTTCCTCCTCTTCCTCCCTCCTCCTCCTCCTCCTCCTCCTCCTCCCCTCCTCTCCTCCTCCTCCTCCTCCTCCTCCTCCTGCTCCTGCTCCTCCCCCCATCCCCTCCGCGCAGGAGGTCTCTGGAGAGAGAGGGAGGAGGAGGACGAGGAGAGGAAGAGGGAGAGGAGAGGGAGGAGGAGGACAGGAGGAGGAGGAGGGGAGAGGAGGAGGAGAGGGACGAGGATGACGAGAAGGAGGAGGAAGGAGGAATGGGGAGGGGGAGGAGGAGAGGAGGAGGAGGAGGGGAGGAGGAGGAGGAGGAGGAGGAAGGACGAAGAGGAGAGGGAGAAAGAGGAGGAGGACGAGGAGCAGGAGGAGAAAAGGGAGGAGGAGGAAGAAGAAAAAAAAAAAGAAAAAAAGAAGAGGAAGAAGAAGAAGAAGAAGAGGGAGTGGGGGGGGCAGATGGGGAGGAGGACGAGGAGAAGGAGGAGGAGGTGGAGGAGGAGGAGGAGGAGAAGGAGAAGGAGGAAAGGAGGAGGAGGAGGAGGAAGAGGAGGAAAGGGAGGAAGAGAAAGAAAAGGAATAGGAGAAAACGGAGGGCCCGCAACGGCCCCCGCCCCCTTCCCGCCCTGAGGTTCTCGGCGGAAACGCGGTCGTCGGTCAGGAGCGGCACGAACACCTGGCGGGCACCCTGGACACCCCCCCCTCGCCCGCCACACGCGTGCGCCGAGTTCCCGTGCCAGGGGGAACGCAACCCGTGGAGATCATGGGCAAAGCTGGCGCCGCTCGCTGCTCGGCTTCCGCAATGCCCCTAGAACGCATGGGAAGCCTCTGCAGGTCCCTGTTGAAGTCCCTGAACACTTCATACTATTTCCAACTAGAATGTAAATAGGTAGATGAAAACATTTGTGTTTTGTATAATGGTGTCTAAGACCGGTATGCGCAAGGTGCGATGTTGAGCGGGCGCGATAAAGGGGTCTCTTGAGCCAAACAGCCCCTAGGGGAAAAACTGTCCCGCACCTTGATTCACTGATGACCTACCTTTCGAGTATGGTGCTCAAATGCGTCCGTTGTGCCTCGTTGACAGCCCGGACGCAAACCGTCCAGACCAGCAACAAGACACCACAGACTCATTAAACAAAACAATTTCAGTGTCAACGAACCTTATACTAACCAGGCTCCTCATACAAACCTGAAGTGCCAGAGAGGGTAGCTCAACCTTTTTTCCAGCGGGCCCTGTAATTGGCGGGCTTCGCTCCACCCCAAAGCAGATTCGCCCCAACGACGCCAAACACACAAAAAAAAACGCCCGTGACAAGGGTGGAATTACTCTTGCGATTGACCGTGGGACTCGCCGAAGCAAGTCAACCAATGCCTCCAATGCAAACGGCCACTGAACTCACCTGCTACTTCTCGAACACAGCTCCAGAACGCAACATCTCATCAATGACGCTCACAATGTCGCATTTTCCGAACGTTGTTCGCCTTATGCGGCGTGGCTCACTACTTCGATTCGCGAACATCGTCCGCCTGCGTCCGCAATCCGGTCACCCATCGTTCTTGTCCTTGGTAAGGTCGCTGTGGCCGGAGCTTGGCACGGACTTCTTTTTGCGCTCCTCGCTTACGCTCACTGTGGAGTGGACGTTGACAAGCTTGACCTCCACGACGTCGAGGACGACCTCCCTGCCAGCGCTCCATGTCGCCGTGGGGCCCACCCGCATGTCATGAGCGTCGCACCACAGCATGTTGGATAACTCCGGTGCAAAGCTGGTCCGCTAGCCACCACAAGTGGCCGACCATGCCGTTCTCCGACGGCGGGCGCACGCGGTTCCTAGACCGGGCCGAGAAGACGGACATGCCCTCCACGACCAGCTCGGCCGGCACGAGGCACTCCCCATCAACCCTGAGCCTCCCGATTTCGCCTGCTGGGGCGGGCCCTCGTGCCATCTCATGGAGCGCGCGGAGGCGCGCCAGTAGCCCGCTGGGCGGCTCCACATGCTGCGAGCAGCTCGGAGCAGAATGACGATCTACACACGAGTTCGCGCGATCGACTCACAGCGAGCGCGCGGCTAATCTGCTGACCAGCACTGCGACATGCGCCCAGATGCACGTATACCGCGCCACTCATGCCACATCCCGCCCCCTCCTCGCGCTCGACGGAGCCGCGACTGCGAGCGCTGATCTGGGTCGCGCGCTCCTTCGCCATGTTGACGGCGCGCGCCTTGATCTCCTGCATGGCCATAACAGCGGCGTCGAACTCCATGAGGCACCTGACGGGCAGCTTGCCCATGGCCCGCCGCAGCGCGGCGACGCAGACGGCGACGCGGCGCTGCGCGAGCAACGCATGGGAGGCTGCTCCGAGGAAGGAGACAAAGAGGTTCGGGAGTGGACCTGTGGCCGGCTCGTCGACTTGACCGGGTCGACGTGCCCGACGGGCAATAGCGAGTCGATGAACTCTTCCTGGTCGAGCGCCACTGCGTGATCGGCACTGCGGTGGTGGTGGACACCGCAGTTGGTGAAGTCGCCGTAATCACCCTTCATCTTGTCGAAGACGCTCTCGATGTGGCCGATGAGGCGGTCGACGTGCTCCTTGCGTCCTCCGATCTTGAGATCGCCACCGCGTCTGGACAGCATGATCACCAGCTCTTGGGCGCCGGCACCACAGGTGCGGGGCGCCGTGTTTGTCCGAGAGCGCCGGGCCCCGCCGCGACGGCTTCGCGCCGCAATCCTGCGAGTCCGTGACCCGGGAAAGCAGCATGAAGACAGCTCTGGGCGCATCCTTGCAGCCTGCACCCAGCTTGATGTAGCGCAGACACCCGATCCGCTCGTCGAAGGATTTGAAGCCTGGGACCTGCCTGAGAATGGCCGCACTGCTGGTCGGCAGGGTGAAGCTCACCTCTCTTGGTGCTTCGCCATGCCCCTGCATCTCGGCATAGGTCATGCCCTGCAAGAATGCTTTCTCGGCGCCCACGGCGACGCACACCCAGTCTGGGCGACAAGCCGCCACAGAGGACAGCAAGCAATGGGACGCCCGCTTCGCCCTTCCAGCGAAGGTCTCCAAATCTCTGGCGCCCATGTCGCGGACGCCCCTCAGCGCCATCCAGCAACGGATGATCCTGGCGGCCTTGCCGCCCGATGCCATCCGGCTCTCCAATTTGAGAATTCCTCGAGAATGACGGCGGCCACCTCTTTGGCCAGCCTCGACACTTCCTCTTTGCTTAGGAGATGGGCGTCGCGCTGGATTACCGCGGCCTTCCAAGCGGAGTAAACCCCAAGCACAGCTGCGGCGCGCCCGCCTGCAACATTGTCGCCCTCGTGACAACTCGAAAATGCCTCTCGCGCTCCTGGGTCCAACTGAAACTCCACGTGAGTTCCCCGTTCATCCCCCCCATCATGCCTGGCGTAGTCGTCCAAGGCTGCGCCGCGCAGGTAGTAGTGGCACTGCCCGTGGATCTACTGACGTTGGTGCTGAGTCTCCAGGAGAGGGGCCAGTCGCGCGGTCCGCGGCCTTCCGCGGCGGCCGCGTGCTCGACTGCAGCGTAGACCATATGCTTTCCTGAAACAGATCCTCAGCTCCCTCAACCCCCATTCCAAGCTGCTAACATTACCTGTGGCCGGACGAGTCGCTGCGGCCTCTTCGGGCATCACCGACAAGGCTGAAGGGGAACTGGGACACGCAAATAAATACACACAAATAAAAAACAATCCCCATAGTTTCCCATATGTTCTGGGTTTTTGTCTTCCCCCCCACTTCCCATATTTTCCCATATTTTCCTGGGGAATGGAGGATTAATTGTGTCTGTGTGTTCCTTTTCCTCCTGAAAAGCTGATGGCGAACTACCCTCGGCGACGCTGGTGACGCCGTCGGGGAAGTCGATGACACAGTCATCGAACGCCCCATATTGACCCTGCCCGGCGTTGGCTGCAAGCAGCTGTGCGCCACCCGAGACAATCTGGATGATGCGAGCGCCCTTCGACTACTCGCCGATGAGGCTCGAACTTGACGCCGCGCAAGTGCAGCAGGCGGACGCCGCTTCAGGTCCGAAGGAAGCACCAAATGACCTCACAGCGGCCGCAGCCCGGCCCATCGCCCACATCTCTGACCGCGCACAAGACGCACGGCACGAACGCGTGGTACATGAAAACAGATGCAGGACAAGTGGCGCAGAGCATCGAGGACATCGAGGCGCTGCCGAGCCTGCTCGGTCAGCTGCTTGCCCGGCTCGCCCACCCAATGGCCGCAGGTCCTGGCTCCTGAGCCTGGCGAGACATGCTCTGGGAAGTCCTCCACGCGATCCCAGGCCAGGCCAGCTCGCGCCATGCCAGTACCCATGTCTTTGAACACGGCACCGATGAAGGTCCGCACGCCCCCCAGTCTGCATACCATCTCGACGTTGAGGCCCACGCTCGCACATCTTTCGCGCGAGAAGGCCACTGGATCTCCACCTGATCACCCACGTTGAAGCGCCCGCCCCTCTCGTCTGGGTGGCGCGCGTCTGGAGGGCGCGACTGACGCGAGCGATAGAAGTAGCCTCAATCGTGCGCTGCAGGGCGATATCACGGATACGCCACTGCACTCTGCTGGGACCTCACCACCGGCGGCGGGCCGCGCCCCTGCGACATAGCCGCCCCCTCCGTCCTGGTCTGCCTCGAGCGGTGGCAGCATGGACGGCCGCCTGCCGAGAACGACGTTGCACGGCGCAGCGCCGCCCACGTGGGTGAGTCTGCCTGCATGGAGTCGAAGATGTCTTCGATGCCTTCGCGCTCCAGCTGCTCCTCGGCGGCGCGCATTGCGTGCCGTAACATTGCGCCGCGTCGCTCTACGAAATAGCGTGGAGCACGGATGCCCACCTGGGCTCTTAACCTCCTCATCTTCCCTACGAAAACTTTGGAGGTCATCCCGCCTTCGCCATCCACGATGGAAGTCCACGTGGATTCGAATAACTGGATCCACGACCTGCCCGCTGCTGCCAGCAACGTCGAGTCGCATCTGTCCGCAATCTCCTGGCCGGCGCGCCACCTTGAAGCGCGGCAGATAAAGCGCAGCATCATGCGATCCATGCGGGAAACGATGCCGCATCCAACGTGCTGGTTGAATCGCGTCGAAAGGCGCAGGGTGGGAATGGTTTGGAGTACTGGTGGTAGCCACTTACGGCATTCCAGACAATTGTTGACCACTGTGGGGATGTGGTCGACGATTGCCCCTGGCATGTTGGCTGCACGCAGAGCTCGCGCCATCCTCCTCCATGGCGTGCATCCACCGGAGATGCAGCTCGCGCCGCCCTCGCATTCGCGTCTCGTGCGAGTCGCCACGTAGTGCTCGCAGTGACGTGGCGATGTCGAATCGAGTCCAGCCTGCACGCGTTGGGTTGCCTACAGCGGCGTCGGCAGCTCGCCGCAATGTCCGACTCGGTGCTGCGCTGGCCGCTGGATTGGCTCGCGTCGAACACGGTCGCCCTGGATCCCCAACGCTGGAAGACGAGCGGGCACCTGGCGCGATGGCTGGCGCCGCCGGCAGTGCTGCCTCGAGCCTGCTGCTCCGAGGTCGGCTCCCAAGCAGCTGAGCGTCACGATCGCTGGTTGGGCATGGTCCTCCAGGTTTTGCTGGTGTTCGTGGACGCCGGCCCGAAAGCGGACGCGGCCGTACATGAGAATCCGCGAACCTACACTTGCTGAACT